TCTATTTTAGGTACGATCGTGTACTATAAAACATATCATATCTTTCTTAATTAATACTCATAACAACATATAGGTGTACCCGCCCCGAAATGATGAGCAGGGACTAGCTGGTAATGTTTGGCAGTGGATGAAGATGATATCAGGGCTCTTAGGCATGTACACAATGTCTGGTTACATATTTGTATGTTATCTCTCAAGTCATAATCTTAATTTCAACATCTTAACCTTGATCACACGTGTGAAGCTGTAAAGTGTAATCATGTGAATCCTCGTCGGTGTATACTACTGCCTAACCCCGGCTTTAGCGTCACTAGGCACTTCATTGTAATTCATATGTTTATGTATCATTGCCTGCTTATTGATAAGACGAACGTGATGATATGAAATTTTCTGTCTCGCATGTCCACTGCGCAGGTGCAGGGTCATATCCTCTTATGTTACTTGTCGTCCTCCGAAAAGACAGATAAAAACCGAGACATTTAGTGTGCGGTCAGTATTAAAAGTGCAGAATCTCTGTCTGAAATGTTCTCTCGATTGTGAGATCGTTGTTAGGTTCTGAGACGTAAGAAAATGATAATCTGCAGACTGAAATTATATTGCTAATACACGTCTCGAATGCAAGGGCTTTAGTTGTGAAACATTGTGTCTTAACACTTGTGTGAGCATACTGTCATTTTTATAGCTTCTAACTCTTTTTAGAAGTAAAATGCAGTTATACAGACAAATTCTTTATAAATATGCTTAATCTTCTTCTAATTTGTATTGAAATGTTCTGATTACTTTTGTGTATGTGTACAACAATATTAGAAATCGTCAAAGCACATGGAATGTATGAATATATGAATAACGAAATATATCACAACAAGTGAAATATGATCACGATATTTGATTAGTGAAGCAGGAAATATTTCTTTTTCTGACACGAAAGTGTCCGAGTTATAAAAAAACCTTTGTGGATGAAAATAAAAGCAAATGTAAACAAAGACTGGTATAAGGCCAACAATGATCTGGATTAGACAAACTAGACATTGCCAATTTCACAGAATAAGTCTGTAGAGAGAGACGAAATTATAAATAACAGATCACTGCCAACAAAAAAGGTTCTGTTCCAAACACTGGCACGAGTGATATGCATGTGTTTTGGAAGTAACACACACGTATATGATAAAAAGTGGGATAAAATATGAGTCAAATTTTAAATAAAGGAGAACAAACAGAAAACAGGACAGCAAATATTAGTTTATGTAAGTTCATATATTATAAATGTTGGTACATTAAGATGCTGGCGAGGTTATGATTTCTGTTAGTAAACTGAGGACAAACCGGAGTTAATAATGATATATACGAGTGTCTGATATTTCATAAAATCTGGGTTGTAACATTTTTTGATGGATGAAAAACGGTTTAATGATTGCGAAAGAAAAATAAATGCAAGAAAATATATTACAAAATGCTTGATTGAAAATAGAGTACATCACGACAAATAAAAACAAAAAGCTCTCTTTTGTCTAAATACGACGGTACTTTATAATAACTCTAACTTAAAATAGACAGGGGGCGACAATACTAGTGTTATCACAATTGACCGAGTACAAACTCTATCACCTATCATGATGTCTTTCCTATATATAGGCACCCTGAGCGTTTAACAACAGTAACCATATCTATCAGATTAAATTCTAAAATCTCTGGTTCGGCATCGGCTTCAGGTAACAAATAATGGATTACTGACAAATCAACGTTAAAATAGATAATGAAACTGATATAGCACCCGGAGTTTTAAATAATGCTAGTTAAACGTAGGTAACTGGAATGCTACTACTGAGGAAAGGAAAGTTAATGGCTGAAGTCGTTATGTCACAGCTATTTATTGATTACCATTATTATTAAACTGTAGGAGAATGAAAGAGAAATGTCCTTTATGGTCTGATGGGGTTGTAGGGATACGTAACGGTAGATGTACGTTAGGAATGAGACGTCAGGATATTGTTTTTTAAAGTCCTGATAATAGGTTAGACAAGGTGAAATATATTGTTATTCCACGTCAGATGTATGTGTAGATACCATGTAACTTAATTGTATCATTGCTGGGATTGACGTATATAACATTGTACTTCCGATCCATCCTGATACTAGATATATACCACTAACTTATCAACACATATACTTACTGCTCCATCTATTGTAATCAGTAAAAGCTCTACTTCCAACATAATAATTTAAAAGCATACCATCAACACCAAAACCGTAGTGTGAATGTATATCATAACGATGAGAATAATGAAAATTAATGACAGTATTATAGCCAGTATTCAACAGTCCATTTAAAACAAGTCATGTTTACGAATAAATAATAATACACGGAGAAATAAAACAAGGACGAACACGAGAATAAAAAACGTGGCGGAAGGATACACGAGAGGGTTGTTATCAGGCCTCCATGTGAGAATTGTGTAGAACCCAGGATTCCCCGTCGTGTTTCTCCCTCCGCTTATCATATCCGAACAAGTCCCGACAGATACTATCATGCTCTTTGGCGCGCAAAATATCATTGTTTCACCGTAAACTATTTAAGTCTACAACGAATGATTGATAGTATACATGAATAAAATGGACGTATTATCTTCTTTATTTTGTTTTTAAAAAATAAATACATTTTAAGTGAAGTTCAAAATGGAACAAGGAAAAAAACATCTAATCTCATTTAAAATCAAGATGTATATGAGAACACTCATTCGTTTTCTGCTTGTTGCTTTTTCTGGGATATTATCTGATATATATTGAATTTCTCTATTTTTGAAATTGCTGTGGAGGCGACAATCAGAGAAATGAAACGTAAGTGGTATATTGGAGAGAAATAATTATACTTCTGTCAAATTTTGATGCAATCATGTTGATTCGTAGTAGACTCGGGCGTCGGCAAGTCTCGGAAGACTTCCGAATTCACGTTAAACGTTCAAGGGACCACCAGGGTCGCGAAAACAGATAGATGCTCAATAGCTGAAGGAGGCTAATAAAGCCTAATTTTGCTCTGTTACTTATCTTTAGACAGTCTGTTTGGATGGTAAATTACATTAAAAACGAAATCAACAAAAAAGTGACATGGAGTGGGGTTCAACAAAGAGCAGTTTATCAGGAGTTAAATTAGGGTTCACATGGGGTTTAATACTGTGGGCTTCATTGTATATTGTCCTTGTAGGCAGGATTTCCAATTCACCAATTGATAATACTTTATCAAACATAATAATTGCCTTACGAAATTGAGATAATGTGATTGTCATGAAAAAAGACTGCTAAAAATATCCAACATTTTCATTGCTGTTTTTAAAAAGCTCTCTTGTTACAGTGGAAGCAGTAAAACGAAAATCTTATCAAATTTATTCGAAAATGTAGGCAAAGTAAATTGTGCATTTTTCAGATTTCATTATTAATGGAAACACTCGCTTACGTCCCAACTATACTTTTTCTGATATTTGAAGATTTGATTCTAAACCTTTAACATTTATCCTCGCTTGTGAATACTATTTAAGTCTCTAGTCACGGAACATTTATTGCACAAGTGATTTTGTACAGTAGCAGAAACATAAAACAAAGAACAGAAAAATGGTTTCACGCTGTTCGTTTTTCTTTGGTTAATGTGCCAACTATTGTAGTGAGGTGACACATATTTCCGGCGTCAGCTAGTTATGTATTGCAGACCCCCATATAACGGTCTACCTTTCGTAACATGGGCCCTACCATGGCTTTGGACGGAATTAGTAACGACCTGCCACCTGTTCTCACGGGAAATAATCATATATTAGTGTGCTTATGATATGCAATGTCTTATTGAAAAATGATAGGTTACACTGGGAATAGAAACAGGATTTCGAATATTTTAGTCGGTACTTCATTTATCAATTAAAATCTAGATGTTACTTGTAATGAATCTGTTATAAATTATAATTTATGTTATGGCTGGATTTTGTTTTGAGATCATCATATGAAGATGTCATATTGCAATCTGAAGATAAATGCAATTTTTAATCTCTTGTTCTTTGCTTTACCTCGGCAAATCGATGCTGAAACGGAAACTTCAAGATCATCTACTTGTATGACTTTTGTACAACCCGTCAACATAATATGAAATGAAATCTCATTTCAAATCACATACATATTTTTTTTAAAGAAACAGTATCAATGTTTACAGCAATACAATCCTACAATAGTCACTTGACACAACATCAGTGTGTGTCCGTTGTGTTGTGAGTACAACATATTTTCTCAGCCTTATCTTATCTCTAGTGGAAAAATGAAGTGGTTCAATATCATGCTAGGAAAACTGATGCTCTCATTCAGGATAAATGTGATATTTAATTAGTAATACTTTAACGAGCTGTGGCAGCCCCGAGATAGGTTTTGGCAGGATAGAGGTGAAAGGTCACCAGGGATCACACAGGAAGGTTCCTTGTTTCCCCTGGCTGCCATGCCCATATCTAAACAAGTGTATAAATAGGGTAGTCAAAGATACGCTTTGTGGTAAGGACTCCTGGTGTTGGAGAAAATCGTGTAAACAGTGGAAAACAACTTAATCATGTGAAAAAAAATCCTCATTGTCTTCAACGATTTCGGTGGAATGATGCAATTGATTCATAAACAATTAACATCAGTAGGAATTTATCTAAAAGATTCCAAATAAATGCACTTTACAGCAACGTGCTATTGGAAAAATCGCACGTACAGGTAGATGAAAAATGTAATAGAAATGGAAAAATATAATTATAACCTACCATAATTCGTGTTTGGTCTCTTTGAATTTTGATTAAATAATGACGATAGTTTCCTGCAGACCACTAGTTATATTGTATCACACGTAGTACAGGATTATGAAACATTAAGAAAATGATTTGAAAAGGAAATGGACCATATTCTTGTTATGTGTTTGGAATAAATATTCGTAAAACTATGTGATATTTTAACATATAATTAATCTATATCTATCTACATTTTTGTACTTGTAGAATTCGGATTCTTCTGAATCAACGAGCCCCTCCAGTATAGACAAGAAAAGCAAGGGACGGACAGGATGGCCCCAACACGTGTGGGCTTCTGAACTGAAACAATAATGAGGCCAAACATGTCTGTTGTTTGCGAAAAAAACTGCAGCAATTAATTCCGTTTTCCAATGATTCCATATCTTGTGGACAGTATCCACGGAAATCTGTTTCTACCAAGCGCAGAGCTCTCGAAAGCGATCAATCATGTGGTCTGACAAAACCGGATCCGGAAATCCATACACAACGAGATTGAATTAGAGTGGTCGTCAGGACGACGCAGACGCAGTGTGGCGGACGAAAATGCGCAATGGTTCGAATACGGATACGCGCTGATATTATAACTTATTATAATATAGAAGAACGAAATGGCTAACATAGACATGAATGGTGTGGAATGGTGAAAACATTTCAGACTTAAATTCGACAGACTGAGGAAGGTGGATGTGGGTTCTACAACTGTATCATATTTATTGAGTTTGAGTTTTTATGATTATTTTTGGTAATATTTTGTCAACAGAGAGTTTTATTTAGATGATGAGACACGTTATAGTTTCATCAGAGCAATAACTTTATTCACTGTTCTTTTTTTATTTTAAGATTATGTTTAATTTTTGTTTACCATCATTCATCTGGGATAGATGCATTAAAAAGATTGACGATGACCTCTGGTTTTCCAACAGACTCTAGTCTACATGTCTAATGTGTTTCTCTCATAAATAGATCTCTTTTTAACGTATTTGATTCATTCATGCCTTTTCATTTGAGGGACGTGGCGATAGGATACAGTGTATACAGAGATTTGTATATATATATATGTATAAAAAGGCAAGGAAGACGTTCTTCGACTACCTGAGTCAGTAGGGTCAAGCCTGACACGACACGAGATGTGTCTACCCTAACGTCTCAGTCGAGTAAATGTAGATACGGGAAGGGTACGAGACCGTGTGAAATGGGCGTGCGAGTGAGATCTGAGAAGTGTACTAGTTTATGGAGATGATTTACACTAGTAGTGTGACTGTCTGTATGTGTAAAAGTGTTTATAAAATGTATATTTTGGTCGAAAGAATGGCATACATGAGAACCGGTGTAAATGGTTAAATGTATGATATGTACGTTAAACTTCACAACGCATTATCAATCAAATATCCATGTTAAATTTAACTTCCTTTCTATTTTTGTCGTTTATTCTACATGTAACTATATTATTTATTTCTTGCTAAACCTTGTGCTAGACATATATATCATTACGAAATTCCACAATATATATCTACAGACGAGTGAACTTAGGAAATGTAGATATACACAAACTCAAATCCTTGTATGAAAAGTCACTATAAAGGCATATATCAATCGAGACTTTCAGGAGACAAAACATAAAGAACTTTGATTTACAAAATCTCACCATCCTGTATAAAAATCATTATGAAGGCATATGAATGGAGATATTTAGGAGACTAGGAGAACTTTGACATATTAATTGAGTCTTTTAGGAATTTAATTGTGTACCTTTACAATCACAATTCTATCAGCATACATTTACACGTCTATTGTATGTGAAATGTGTTTATAATTGTTAATTACATATTAAATGAAATTGAGGAGTGAATTCTATATTTATGTTATACTGTGTGCCAAATAGACAGGTTTTGTTGGAACAATCCTCAGTTAATTATGAGTTGAACCTCTATAGAGATGATGTATGGGTATGCGAATTGCAGCCCAGAAAATAAACAAAATGATTTTCACAAAACATGTTCTGTTATCATTTGTGCATGTTAACGTGAAATAAAGAATTTATCATGATCATTGATGATAACGTAGCCATTTTAAGATGATCATGTCATTTAAAATTAAATATCAGAAAAACTTAACGTTTTTAGTGTGTACTGTTCACAAAGAACAAACCATCATATATGATTTTTTAATACAAAAATGGGTGATGTTTTAAATAGGCTGGAACTTCTGTTATTATTCAAGTGTTGGGATCATTATCTGACGTACGTGTAAAAATAGACTTTCGAGAGAAGACAGCTATAATTGTTTTTTACAAAAAATTCACACTGGTGTTTAATTGGGTGCTAGCATCTCACAATGGTATTTACAAGGTGACAGTATACTGATATTAGTAATTTAACAACAGTGAACACATCCTATACTTTATAAAAGACACACAAGCGAATAACACCTTTTAGTACAAATCTAGAGTTAGATATAGTAGAGCCAAGAAATGAATTAAACTTCATCATGCAGCTGTTTCGTCCTTCTTGAACTAGTTAGTGATGCTAAGGGCCTACATTTTGAAGTTTAGGAGGCGCCCAAGGAATATCCAGTGATCGAAATACATATGTATAGCGTTGACGTAATTAGTACTAGTATCTTACATTGATATGGAGGAAGTTAACCGATACTCTGCTGTACTGTATTTACTTAAATTATCTTTGATAGATATTTGTATCGTATAAAATTTACAAAAGTATCATTTACATTAAAATTGACGTTTTATTATTGTATTCCCATAGTGAACCGTTGATTAATATTGTTATGATAATATCAGAACGAACTATTCATACAAAATCATATAAAATACATGTATACGAGGTAAGCGTATACTTTCATATATTTACGTTCTCAAACAGGTGCACGATGATGACGAGATCAGTTATTCTGTTTACATCAATACTATTATACATCTAATAATTCTATCATACTTCTGCTAACTAATGGTCATGTGATATAAATCATATAGAAAATAGCAAAACAAGATGATATTGCTTATCTGTTGGAATGCCAACTAGTCAAATTTCTATTAGACACAATAACACTTACTTGAGATAATGTGAACACCTAATTCATCTGTGGGCACATACACAACAAAAACAGACAAAGGATGTGGTAATATTTGTAGTCGGACAGATAGAAACACTCCATGACAGAATATTACATATTTCTATAACTGAGAATTAATAAAATATTGTTTGATATCATCGCCCACGGACTGAAAAAAAATATATCAGAACACTTGAACATGGTTAATAGTATATTTTACTATATTCGTGTGAAGACTTTGTGATTGCAGTTTGCAGTGAAAGTGTCGAACAGACATGGGTAAGAACCGTGCATTATCTGTCTTGGTAGCATTGATAGTGTTTATTAAGTCGTTATGAACGACCGCTAACATTCCAAGAATATTGGAATGTGTAGAACTGGTAACCAATGGTGTTAATTATTCACGGGCATAACATGGCTATTCGATTTGTGTAACGGGAAACAATGTTGTTTAGTGATAATTTTCCTTGAAAAGGACACGGTAGTGTTAATTTCATCCCAAAATGAACAGCCTATAGTTATTGATCTGTTTTCCAGCCTCCTCCGCTCCAGACAAATGCCCCGGGCGTCAGTAGTTCCACATAATTCATAGCATAATTCTCATCGATCCAGCCTTTTGATATTAAATTATATCACATATGGTTATCGTTAGTGGAAGTTTAAACCAAATTAGTATCGACATCGTCAGTGTTATTCCTAGCTAGGCAGAGAAAAACGACTTCGATGTTCTATAAAACAAACCCTAACGTAGGGATAATACTTTACAGTGTTAAATATCTCTGTTGTAACAGTTAACACTGTAACCACTGTTTAGTATACGTTTACGTAAATAAAAATAACAATTATCACAAAAAAATGATTTATTATATAACAGTATTACATAAGTTTAATACACAAGGTCTTCATTTATCATATATGTCGGTAATATATTACTGAGTTAAGGAAATAGAAAACACTCTATAGGCATTAAATCATTGAGAACATATCTGGGTTCATGGATGTATCTCTAAAGATACAGTTGTGTAATATATTAACCGAGAAAAAGACACAACATGATAAATAGTAAATTAATCATTATTGAATATTTCTTTATCTAATACATTTTTCAGAATTAACTTATTATCAATATACTGTATCATTATTGCATATGTTTATAAAATCGTATTCAATCCCTTTGGCAATATAATAACGTAATAATTAAAGTGCATTATTGTTTATCTGGTAATAGATACATGAAATCAACCAAAATTATACCTCATGAAGCACAGATAAAACACGTCAACAAGATTAGGCTGGAACCATATCGTTAAAACCAATTATTCAGTACACCTTGGTTTAGTTTTAGTTAGAAATTATATAAAACGTAGTACAGAAGAGATATATAACAAAGCGTGATATACCAAACTGATATTTCGACGTTAAGATAATTTCACATTTAGGTATATTGTGGTTTGATATATATTATCGCAATACAGATGAAAGAAATATGATTTCTACAGAAACAATTGAAATAAATTGGAAGCAAAAGCTGTGATTAGTTTATCAGAGAGCAATGATGATTATTCGTTAAAGCACTTCACTGCCTGTAAGCCAGGAGGATAATATATCATATCTTGTCCGTGATTAGATTAGTTTCATTCCTTCCTTAAATCGTGAAAAACCTATGATTTGTATTTGTGAAACAGTCAACAATTCTATCTTAATTGATTTCAAACCATTTTCGCCAATTTTATATACAAATAAAAACAAATCTAAACGTTATAACAATTGATAAATACGTTTCAAAAATTTACACTTCAATTTAAAATTATACAAAGAAACATATTACTCTTTTAAACATATCAGTGTTCACAAGTACTTTCTTGATATTTTGAACTTTGTTAATTATTTTCATTGAAACCCTTCATCATTATAATCTGCAATGCTTATCCCAGTGTAGACCGTAAAACACCATGGCCCACGATATTTCTAGTAAAATACTTAAGATATTTGGCAGCGATAACGGGCAAGCGGTTGAAAATTTCAGATAAACTAATAATAAAATGTGACTTTAATAGACATATTTATACAATATTTTGCAGCACAGCGGTTCGACATTATCACATACCGGTTCCTGATAAGGGTGACATGCTTAGCCAATTTTCTCTACTTTTTGTCCCTGGATGGGGTTTTTAGGAGATCGTTTATGAAACGCTCGAGGTTTACCCCAGCTTAGAGTTGATGGACAGACAAGAGAGGGACAT